ATTTTTGTTTTGAAATATTTATTCTAATTTGCAACAAACATCTTTTTGGTTAAAATAATAGTTTAATCAAAAAAGAATTACCCCTATAAAAAAATACAAAAAAAAACGATATAAATATCGTAATATATTGAATGTTGTCAAAACCCTCAATATTTAAGCAATATCACCTAGACTTCTATGTAGAATACTAAACTCATAATCACTGGGTTAATCGTATAACTTTGAACTGTGCTGATGAAGCCAGGTATGTTAAAACCAGAACTGGTCATAAGCCATTTTTAAACCTGCCGCAATTCAAATGACACTATGCAGGGACTCAAAAAGGCACTTTTTTTTTTAAACACAAAAAGGTGCATGAACATTACAATAAAAGCTCTTTAGTGCTTCTCTCAGATTTCTCTCCCCAGCCCTCACAGAGACTCTTGTTTCTGCATCAGTTACTTTAGCAGTGGCATTAGCCAAACCATAAGTGAATGGAGTGTGATCGCATATCCAGCCCAATACTCCCCCTGGATCGGCACATGACTTGTTTACCTGCTCAGAGGCACTGAGAGACCTCAACAGTGATGTAACATACGGTTTAATCAAGGAGATGCAGTAACAGAAACAGAAGACCATAAATTACAAAAAAGAGCAGAGAACAAAAATAGAAAGGAGTGTTTTTGTTTAAACAGCACAACAGAAGAAAAGACTGCTCACAAGTAGGGCTGTCGCGATAACCGCAATATCGCAATACTGCGCTATTGACGAGCAAACCGCAGAGGAATGCAAGAACCGCAGCAACCGCGATTTTTGAGTGTTTTCTTTTTTCGTAAGGTTACGCCCTTCTCGTTTTACACTTCATGCATGTGGACTGAATATTAAACAAGTTTGTAATGATAACAATGTGTACCATGCTGATTTGTACAAAGGCTCCGTAGATTTGCACTTAACAAGCCTAAACAAACAGTGAATGAGACAAGAGATCGACTGAGATTACTTGTGTCTGTCCTCTAGGACGAGTCATATATATTTGCGAAAATAGGTAGTCATGTCCAAGGAAAGCGAAATCTCTGTCTTTATATATATATGTGTGTGTGTGTGTGTGTGTATGGCGATAATACCGCATACCGCTCTATTGAGCCACTCAAAATTACCGCAAGGGAAATTCCCTCAGTCTACTTGGGCCTAGGGCTGCACGATAAATCGAAATGGAATCGAGATCGCGTTTCAACAGAAGCTGCGATTGTCATGCATATCTTTCAGTGAAGCACGGTTCTGTGATCAGCAGTAAATCTCTATCCAAAGGCCAGAGGGTGCTCTCGCGCTGAAACTCCAAATATGCCTCGCAGAAGAAACCCAGAAAATGCTGCAGAAAATCGCTGCAACTGAATAAACAGAAGATTCAACTGCTTTCATTGATTCAACGTGACTAATAAACACACGACTACGGCAATCTGAGTTCTTATTACTATAATTTTCATTAAAATAAACTACATTTATACATGCCTTTATCACTGCTTAAATACTATGAAATATGTTGCGTGCCTTATTCTGTGTAAGAAGCCACATTATCTCACAGAAGGATTTATTTCAAACACTCGACTGACGTTATGAAGTGAGTTTGGAGTCAAAATATGTTATTAAATGTGGTATTTTCACATGCTTTCAGATGGAGCAGCATTTACTTCACAGAGCCGTAGTTCACTGAGAAGCCATGTAAACAGCTGTCATTATCGCAAACGATTTCTTTGATTTCATAATCGCGCAATAAAATTGTCTGCGATTTTTTTGCATAACTTGTCAGTGAACTACGGCTATGTGTAGTAAATTCTGCTCTATCTGAAAGCACGTGATGATGATTTCCTGCTGATTACAGAACCGGCTTTACTAACAAAATGCACATGACAATCGCATTCGATTAATCGTGCAGCCCTACTTGGGCCTAATGACTCTTTTTGTGCATCCCAACAAATCTAGGTTGTGTTGGGGTCAATTCAACAAACCTCCCACCTTAGGAGGGGGGTAGAAACTTCAGCAGGGGTGCATTGTGCCCCAAACTAATCCTCTTTCTGAGACCAATAACCAAAGAAAGACACAAAGCTCCAACAACATGCTACATGGTAGCTTACACACTCACAGCAGGCATCAAACAACACAATGTGATTTAAAGGGGTCATATGACGCGATTTCAATTTTTCCTTTCTCTTTGGAGTGTTACAAGCTCTTGGTTCATAAAGAAGATCTGTAAAGTTGCAAAGACTAAAGTCTCAAATCCAAAGAGATATTCTTTACAAAAGTTAAGAGTCAGCCACGCCTACCTAAAATGGCTCGTTCTAACACGCCCCCACATATCTACGTCGCTATGTGGGAAGATTTGCATAAATGTTCCCACAAATGTTCACGCAAAGAAAGAAGGCGTAACTTTTATTCTTGCTGTAGTTTTGTTGTTGCCGCCGCCATGTCGTAAAGATGTTGTGTGCTTCGTTGTGAAAGCGAAACTACTTTGTTTGGTCTTCCAAAAGAGGACGATATCTGCAAATAATGTGTTTTTTTAACCTTAAACCGCATAAACACATTTTGTTACACCAAATAATGTTATTTTTAGCAGCATCATATGACCCCTTTAATAATATTTCTAAAATTATTTGTCATTCAAAATGTGCTGTCAAGATTTTTTTTAATGTATGTTTAGGTGGGACGCATCGAAGGGATCTACTTTTCTACTTCTTTTTATTAGGTCTTTAAATGAGACCCCCTAAGGTGTTATGTGTTCTTAGATATAATATAAGATAAACAGCCTCTCTAAAAATAGCAAGTTCATTGGGAAAAAAAACAGATGGTAAATTTGTTCCCTGGTCTTCCATAAAGATTATCAAAAAGCAGATTAGGAAGTTTAATTAGGATATGAGAAAGAGGGGGTTGTCACATATGACTTTTGGGTGTTTAAAATTTTTTTTAAAATCCAGTCCATTCCAATGGCTGACCAGCCATTCAATACTATTTGTTCTCAGTGTAATCGATGACACACATGGGCAGGGTGGTTATGATGACATGGTTTGGTCTTTTTATGATCGCTAAGGTAACAGCACACAAGCTAATAATACAGGCTGTGGAATTCTTTTAGGGCAAAATATCCGAACAATACCAGAGCACCGAGGCCAAAATACGGGACTGAACTGGTGTAATATGAATCCACCCTTATGGTGACACTATGAGAACAAGGCTGAACTGAACAGTCTGTCCAAGGCTGAAGACTAGAGGAAAAAAATATATATTCATTTTGCATACAAGCCCAAACAACTTGGAAACACTGAGTCACCTGCAGCATTAGTATGTGACCATAAAATATTAGGCTACACAAAGGTCTTTCCTAGCCTGCTTTCCCTCAGTGAAATATCTCCAGAGGTCAAAATAAAATAATACAAAAACAAATGTCAGTTCATATTTGTGGGATTACAAGGCATAAGTGTTGAATTTCTATGACTTCTTCCAGTCGTGTGTACCAATTACCATCTAATGATCAAAAAGCAGATTAGGAAGTTTAATTAGGATATGAGAAAGAGGGGGTTGTCACATATGACTTTTGGGTGTTTACATTTTTTTTTTAAAATCCAGTCCATTCCAATGGCTGACCAGCCATTCAATACTATTTGTTCTCAGTGTAATCGATGACACACATGGGCAGGGTGGTTATGATGACATGGTTTGGTCTTTTTATGATCGCTAAGGTAACAGCACACAAGCTAATAATACAACCTGAAAGCTGTGGAATTCTTTTAGGGCAAAATATCCGAACAATACCAGAGCACCGAGGCCAAAATACGGGACTGAACTGGTGTAATATGAATCCACCCTTATGGTGACACTATGAGAACAAGGCTGAACTGAACAGTCTGTCCAAGGCTGAAGACTAGAGGAAAAAAATATATATTCATTTTGCATACAAGCCCAAACAACTTGGAAACACTGAGTCACCTGCAGCATTAGTATGTGACCATAAAATATTAGGCTACACAAAGGTCTTTCCTAGCCTGCTTTCCCTCAGTGAAATATCTCCAGAGGTCAAAATAAAATAATACAAAAACAAATGTCAGTTCATATTTGTGGGATTACAAGGCATAAGTGTTGAATTTCTATGACTTCTTCCAGTCGTGTGTACCAATTACCATCTAATGAAATATTTACAGGCAGGCATAGTTAGAAAAAAGTAGATTTACTAATCTTTTATCATTTTTCATAATAAAATTCCCTAAGTATGGGAGCCCTGAAAATAAATCTTCAATGGTCATATTAACGATCCCAACAAGCACAAAAAATTACAGATTTAAATATCAAATGAGGAATTAACCTTCTCCCAACAAATGTTGCCAACCAGCTCATCTATAAAAAATAATTTACAGGAAATTAATACCCAATAAACTGAAATGATTGTTTATTGCTTATATGCTGGTTTTGACTGATACACAATCGTCTTTCCTATTGTAGCATATTTAGAGAAATTTGAACGATCAGAGTCACTAAAGTCCTCAAAAGAGGAAGAGCTCTTCATAAACACTGGCTGTATGTCGTAACTTAGTGAGCTGCCTACATAGACGGCATTATTTGACAACAAAGGCGCAGCTGAACGCGCTCAAAGATGCTGTCTAGATAGGGCGCTCAATCGGTTTTCGAACACCGCGAACACCGAAACTACCTACAGACCGAAACCAACAAACACACCTGTCCGCGATACTTCCCTGTGTTTTATAGGAAGTTAGAGGCAGTTAAGCAGAACCGCAGGGCGTCAGATATTTGAATATTACCTTTTTGTGAGGTTTTATGAAATGTTTTGGGATTAATTAAATTATTTTAAGCTAGTCATGCTACACTGAACGAAGATTTAAGATTAGCGAATGCGTTTCGCGTCGTTTACGATCTCACACAGAAAATAAATGACATATTACTGTCCACCTGTCACATATGATTAACTATTTATTTATCTATTTAATGGTGAAATAAAACTCATTCAAACAACTCACCTTAGAGTAGAGTTCAGTCACAGACATGATCCCAAATACAGCAACTCCCACCAAAACTAGTTACATCAGCACACGTAAGGTTCAAATATCTCCGTTTGAATACGATGATATTCCCAACAAGTTTTATAATCCAGGTTTCCTGTGTGCTGTCACCACTCCATGTCGTCCTGGTATGCTGGTTTGTACTTTTGAACTCCCTCTGACGGCTAATGTTAGCGCGTTAGCCGCGCCTGGTCGCGGCAGGTGTCTGTTCCCATAATTGAAGTTGAGTTGGACAAGCCCCTTTCATCTCCTCCTCCACATAAAAATCAAGTTAAAATAAGCAATGGCCACGACTAATCGCTGAGTTCAGGTAACGACTTAAAGGTACTGGTTAGATGTGTGTAAAGTGTGTAAATGTCAAAATGCAGGAGTTGCTGCCCTCCCTTCTTCCCTTCTTCATAGACTCTATCATGCTGACTGACATGACCGCAGCGGCAGAGGCTCATGGATCAATGGCACAATTCAGTGTGTCTACAGCGACACCCTCTGGCCAATTACAGAACTGCACGAAAAATCACATGCTGACAGAAATGAGAACGTCCAGGCTAAATAAAAATAATTTAAAAAGAAAAAAAAAACACTTTAAAAAAATTTACAAACTTTTTGCAAGAAGTGATGAGGGTCTAAAGGGGTCCTCCCTTGTCACATGACAACAAAATGTTTTTCTTATTAATATTTTAAAACAAACCAAAATCATAAACAATGCACTTCCTATAATAAATCCAATATAGCCCCCCCCCCGTTTTTCTTTTCTTTTCTGTATTGCACTTATGCTCAAGCTTGTGTGCCACTATAGCTTACACTGAGCTGAATTTGGGTCTTATGATAAATTGTTTGTGTTGGTCCTCATTTGTAAGTCACTTTGGATAAAAGCATGTACTAATTGACAAAATGTAAATTTAAATGTAAAATAGCTGCTGCTTATTTAAAAAATAAATAAATAATAACATCAACTTTTTCCAATAATTATTTGTTTTAGAGACTGTTTTCCATTCTCTGGGCAGCTATACCACTTATATTTGCCTTTAGACCAAACAAAAAATATCAAAAGTTAAAATTCTAAAGTATTTTTAAAATCAGAAATTAAAAATATGTTTATACTAGAAAATGTGTATTCAAGTCCATTTTAATGAACTGCATTCTTATTTATCTATTTATTTATAATTTTTAATGACTTACTAGATCCAGACAAAAAAAAATGAAAATTCACATAATTGACCCATATGTATTCAGTGTGGTTTTTGTCAGTCATCTGAGAGCATTTTAGTCTAAATAAATGATTACTCCATGAAATACAGTTTTTGCTTCAATGTCTCCAGCTAGAAATACTAAATACTACTAATATAGTCTACTATTAGTACACAGACAGTATAAGCTATTAAATACATAGAAACACATCATTGCACCAAGACGACACAGCTTTGTTGAAGTTGACTGGGCCCATTTCATTGTGATCATACAATGTGAAGCTTATCACAAGATTCTATATATATACATGTGCTTTTCTTGTGTTTCTCATAAATATTTGAGAGCAGAAGCTGCCTAGAATAATCAGATAGTGTGCATTGTGTGTGCTCAGTGTCTGCATCATTAATCAAAGACACAAAGCTGAGCAACAAAGCAGCCTCTCTACTCTTATCTGCAAGGTGCAGAGTGAACACAAGCCGTGTTTAAACTACAGGATGAAACATAAATTCAGAATGAGAATCCTGAATAAGGACATTAAAAATGACATAAAAAGATGCGTAAATGTGTTTAGCTACGGCTAGCTTGGTTTAGATTGTATATTTTAATTTATTTATAAAGCTGTAACCTGTAAATCTCAGTGGACCACATACTGTAATTAATGTGATGAGGAAATCTAGAATGAAAGAGTAGCAATATCTGACCTACCTTGGCATACAGTTCATGTTCACGCATTTTCTCCTAAAAAGTGTGCCAATATTCACAGACACAATGATCATCAGAGCTCTGAATTATTCAGATGTTGTATATTCCTCATGTCAAGCTCAAAAAGATTGTATAGCATACTTTGCCGAATTTTGTAGTTCCAAACTGGCTTGGGTAAAAGTTAAACCTGTCTGAACAGCCAGGTGAGAAAAAAAAAGACAAAAATAACATAGACCAATTGCTCCACACCCCTACCACTCCTAAGTAAGGCATTGGGTGTTGACTAACTTCTTCACCATACACATGCTGTTGTGGTATTTGCAGCGTCAAAAGTTACCCACCCACTCATTCACCCTCTAATCATTTAACCCAGCAGCTTACTGGTCTAAAACCCTGTTGCTAAATCATTATGGAAATATTCTGCATGTTAACTGTCATTTTTAAACCTTAACCCTTTGACCTCTCCTGGTATTATGTACTGTACATGTTTCATAGCAACCCTGGACAGCTTTCCATTGTTTTTAATTAGATGGTTGGTGTTAGATGCGGTGTATAAGTAAGTCTGAGTGATTTGCAAAAAGAAGACACTATTCACAGTCTATTCATTAAAATGATTGGCTTTCTTTAAATAATTAACTTTTAAACATGCAAATATCTACCTCAAAACAAGTTAATCCAGTCAGACTTGTCTGAATACAAACTTCAGCACATGGATAATGAATCTGATCACAGAACACACAAATATGTAAAACATACAACATATAGTTATTCAGAAATGAGCAAGATATTTAAGCATGTAAGTTCACTGAAAGTTCCTTATTTTTATTTTTTAATGTATTTTCATACTAATATTTTTCGAATATTTCATACTAATGAATGTTACTTATGTTGTGAATAGAACTGGATGGATTTATGCCAACTGTGCACCAAAGTTGGAGCGCTCTCGTCTCCTGAAGGGATGAACTGCTGTGGTGCTGGATATTGGCCTTGAAAGGATGTCCTGAATCTTCTTATTGTACTGCTCCTGGTACATCAGACCCTTCTGGAACTCGTATTCTTTCTCAGCTTGTTCTGCTTCACGAATGCGTTGGCGGTACAGCATCTGAGCCAATAAATCAGCCTGATATTCCTGAGTGGCCTCCCGTAAACTAGAAATGAGTCAAATTATTTTTGTATGTTTTGGTATAAGTATGATTAAGTTGCACAACTTCGACAAAAGCCTACCGATTCTTTTCTTCTTCATCCAGCAATTTGTTCTCTTGAAGGATTCGGTCAAGCTCCTCTCTCTCTTTGAAAGGCTCAGCCTGTTTCTGCATATTCTCATTCACTGAAGAGAAAAATAACACCTTCATAATAAATATATATAAATATATATATGTGTGTGTGTGCGTGTATGTGTGAAAATGGCTGATCTTAAAGCAATTTCCTTACACTTCTCTTGGATCTGCAATCGGCGAGTGTCCATGACATCCTTCATGAGTCGGTCCCTCGCTGCCTTTTCCTGACGCCACTGTGCCTCCCTGCGGGCCCAGGCCTGCTGCAGCTCTGATTCAAACAGTTGCTCCGTCTCAGCTTCTTGCCGTTTCTGCTCTTCCAACTGCTCTGCCAGATACTCCCGGTACCTGCGCTGCTCCTCTTGACGCTCCAGCTGTTTAGTAAGAACATTTTATGAATAATGAGAGAATTGACATTGATGGTCAAAAATGGCCACAGTGTGGGCTGAAATCTAACCTTTTTGAGGACCTCATCTTGCTTTTCATCTCGCTCTTCAGTCATTAGTTGCTCTAGGATGCTCATATCCAGAGCCAGCTCTTCCTGCCGATCTCGTGCCAGGCGCTTCATCTTCAGCCGAAGCGAAAGGTCCAGTTGTTTACGTCGTTTCTCCTGGTCTTGAAGCTTCTGTCTGTGTTCTCTCTCTGCCTCCAGGCGAAGCATCTCCCTGTGCTCTCTCTAAGGAGCACAACGTTCACGAGAGTCAGTGCCACAGCTTCAAAGTTTTATTGTATTTTTAAACATTTTCTAATGCATCAAGGCATTATAATGTTCGGGGTGACACTTTATTTTAAGGTGTCCTTGTTACAGTGTAATTATACATATAAGTACTGAGTAATATTAATTAACTACATGTACTTACTATATGGTTAGGGTTAGGATTTGGGTTTGGCTTAGGGTTACTTGCATGCAATTATGTATAATTAATTGTTATTATAATAGTAAGTATAAGTAACGCGTAACAAGGACACCTTAAAATAAAGTGTTACCATGATCGGTTTGTAAAATTTAAATTAATTTAGAGATTTGCTAAAGATTATATTTATAAGTGACATATATTTTTTTATTATTTAGTTTTAAAATATTATTTTTAATAATATAATTGTATAATGAATACTATGTAAATACATTTAGATTATTCAAAAATATCAGTTCTAATATTTATATTTTATTTTAATTTATTTAGATGTAATAATATAATAAGTGTATATTAAATGCCATTATATATATATATATATAGAGAGAGAGAATTTTAAAATATAAGTTGTGATATATATATATATAATGTAATATCTTTTTAATAACAAAAGTATGCATTTTATACTATTATATTTACATTATTAAAAAAAATATTAGTTCTAATATAAATTTTTGTGAATTACTAACACAATACAAAACTAAACAAACTCAACAATTACAGAAGAACACATTCATTTAAAGAAATTTGAAGAGACCATTAAGGTAATCTAAATTTAAAGATAGGGAAAATGAGCATGCCTGATTAAATAACCAATATCGACAGATTATGAATGAATTAAAAAATCTCTAATATTGGTACAGACATATTGTGCATCCCTATAATAACTGTGGCTTGATTTGATTGATTCATCCTATTATATGCTCAGTACCAGTAACTGGGCCTCCTCTTGTTTCAGTTGCTTTGCCTGTATTCTCTGCTGCTCAGTCATTTCCATCTGTGCCTGCAGGAATGCCTTCTGCTGGAGGTTGTTCTCTCTCTGACGTTGAACCTCGTGGTTATGACGCTCCTCTTTGGCCATCCTGTCGCTCTCCCACATCTGGGAGAACAGTCTGTCTTCTTCTTGTTGCATCCGTTGCACTTCCTCCTTAGTATGGATCTGAGCTGCACGCTCAGTGCAGACCTCATCCTGTCTGCGCATCATCTCCACGGCACGCAGCTCCTCACATTGCTCTCTAAAACACAGGAAGATGGAACATCTTGTAGTCTGAATCAAAGTTCAAGTTTGTCCAACCACTAATGATACGGCGTTCTACCTGAAGAGCTGATCGAGTTTCTCAGCAGCAAGTCTCTGTCTCTCGCTCTCTCTTCTCTCTCGTAGAGTCTTGGCTCTTTCAACCATCTTAGCTTGCCTCTCCAACACTGTCTCCTTTTGTGCCTCCATCTCCCTGAAGATCTCCCCCTCCTCTGACTCTAGCAGCTCACGAAGCCTGTAAAAAAGAGCCAAAGTCATTACACTATACAATGAGACGATTTCTAAATAATTGATCAAATAAATAATTGAGGCTATTCCATTCAAACCTTTCCCTCCTTTCATCAATGTCCATCTGGTACTGCTCTCTTGCTTCATGTAGACGTCTGCTAATAGTGGCCGACACCATCTGGCGCTGTGTGTTCCTTTCCCATCTCATTCTCACACCACAGGAGCTTTGATCCTTGGTAAACTCCAGCACTTCATTCTGTATTGCCTCCTGTTTCCTCCTCCTCAGAAAGAGGTCGTCTATGTCTTTGGATAAAGGATGTTTTGCTCTCTGAAATGCCCATATTTAAGTTGAATAATATGCAAGGATGTTCTGACTTGTGCCCACAGGTCAGATCATGGCTGTGCCTTTTGTTAAAGACTGGGATGTGGTGCAGACCCTTGGAGAGGGGGCGTATGGAGAGTAAGTGACCAGTGTCCTTTTTATCAGTCTCAAACTGATTCGTCTTAAAATGTATTAATCTACTTCAAATTGTTGTAGGGTGCGACTGCTGGTCAACAAGAAGACAGAAGAGGCCGTGGCGGTGAAAGTTGTGGACATGGCAAAAGCCAAGGATTGTGTAGAGAATGTGAAGAAGGAGGTTTGCGTATGCAAGATGCTTTCACACCCAAATATCGTACGTTTCTTTGGGCACAGGAGTGAGGGGACCACACAGTACATCTTCCTGGAGTACTGTAGCGGAGGAGAGCTCTTTGACAGAATCGGTGAGCTAAACATAGATTAGGACATATTACCTGGGTTTCTCCAGTACAATGTAGATCTGAGGAGTCTGAATGTTTGCGATGAGCAAATATTGAAGATTCTGTATTTCTGACAGAGCCAGACGTTGGGATGCCAGAAAAGGAGGCGCACCGGTTTTTTCAGCAGCTAATAGCTGGTGTGGTAAGTGTCAGTTTTGTGAATATTTTTCTTTGACTCCGGTGTGTTCGTGAGCAGTTTACTATCCATAGCTGCCTTTGTTGTAAAACTAGATCTCTCTCACTTACAGGAATATCTTCACAGTGTTGGGATTACACATCGTGACATAAAGCCTGAGAATATTCTTCTTGATGATAAAGGTACCTCTGAGTGGTCTTGTGTTAAATGTGATTATAAAACAGATTCTGGCTTCTGATTGGTCAGTGCAACGTTCCAGCCAGCCACACTAATATGTGTAATGGTGATAGCTGTGACATAAAACTTCATGGCACCCATAAAATTGTATTCTGTTATTATTAATATGTCAGGAATATATCTTTTGGGGTCTGGGGACTCCCAGGGGGCAAGGAAGTGCTAGGGAGCCCATGGAAAAATGTAAATAATAATAAATATAATAATCAAGTAAATAATAAATATTAAAAATAAAAATAAGATTTAGTGCTTAAAATTAAATCATCATTAAAATAAATGTTAAAAAATGACCGAAATAAAATAAAAAAATGTAATTTAATAGTACAGTGCTATAGTAAGTAGGAAACCTAAATAATGTACCATAATAGAAACTAAATATTTTCAAAATAATATTTTTCACATAATATTAACTTTTTCACAGTATAAACTGGGTTTTATATAAGAAAAATATATAGTTGCTTAAGATGGGTCCGTGGCATCTAAAAGATTAAAAACCTATGTTCTAGTGGATAGATGTAATGCATCTAATGAGTTTGTTTTATAAATTAAACTAATATTTATAATACGTTATTTTCTATTTCTTCTTCTCTTCCTAATCTTGTTGTCTCATAAACCTGGAATTATGAATATTGTCACTTTGGATAAAAGTGTCTGCTAAATGCATAAATGTAAATGCTAATTTTAATAACATTTGTGTATTATTAATTACATTTACTATATCATTATATTTATATATCCTATTTATGTTTTCGCTCAGATAATCTGAAGATTTCTGATTTCGGACTGGCTACCATGTTCCGCAACCGTGGCCGGGAGCGGGCGTTGACCCGTTTGTGTGGCACTCTGCCCTATGTTGCCCCTGAGCTGATGTCACGCTCAGCATTCCACGCTCAACCTGCGGACACTTGGGCTTGTGGCATTGTGCTCACTGCAATGTTAGCTGGAGGTAGGAAAACAGTATTCAGTGTGTATCAGTCAGAGACTGCATCTTTGTGGAGAGTTTTGCTATTGTAAGCTGCATTTTTCCATAGAGTTACCATGGGACCAGCCGAGTGAAAACTGTCAGGAGTATTTGGATTGGCTAGAGAAGAAAATCTACCTCACACCCTGGAAGAAAATTGATGCTGTTCCACTGAGTAAGCTTCTTAAGAGATTCAGTTAAGAGATTCTTTAATTCAGTATATTTCTGTATTTAATTGAATTTTCTTTCAGTGTTCAATTAGACCAGACTTGTTGACTCTTTTGACTTGGGCCAGAAAGCAACCACCCAGAACACCTGCACAAATGCACAGAAACATGTTTTAAAACACCTGTGATGCTGAAGTTTGTGTTTCATTTTCTTTTCAGGTCTGCTATCTAAGATATTACTGCATAATCCAGAGGACAGGTTCACCATTCCAGAAATTAAGAAACACCGCTGGTTTATCAGTAGTTTCAAATCAGGTACTGCTTTCAAAGATCAGCACAGTAATTGTGATTGTGAGTCTTTCGAAAATGTTTGTGATTCTTTTGGATCTGAATTTTTGACCACAGCAGTAAAACGACAGAGTGAAACACCAGTAAACAAGATGCATAGGGCTGACTCTGAGCTCTCACAGTTGAGACGAAAAAACAGGTCAGTACGACAAATCAATACACAAGACAGCTGACTTGATATTTAGTACAAATACAAATTGTACAGTAAGGGCTGTATTATGGTCTAAGAAGCACATCCATCACTACCTGTGTGTTTCTGCAGTGATGAAAGAGCACAGATCTCCAGCTCTCAGCCTGAGCCGCAGGGATTGTGGGAGGAGAAGGAGGTTACGGTACACACTGATGTCAGTGTCAGCTTTTCACAGCCTGCCTGTCCTGACCACATGCTGCTGGGCAGCCAACTGCTTGGCACACCGGGTGCCAGCCAGGTAACCTGTTCTATAAAATGAGTATCAGTTATAGTATGCTGAAGTATTTATTATGACTCAGTTATTTCTGTCAGATATATTTGCTCTTATTTCGTAGTAGTGTTTCAATTTTGTGTCACTCATATTGTTGTGATTTCGTTATTACATTTTTTAACTTTTTTTATTTTATTAAACTAATTAGATTATTAAACTAATTGGTTATGGGTAATTATTATTATATTTGTGTACCCATTCATTTAATGAATAATGGATTTTTGTTAAATACTTTCGAAAAAATGCTTGTTTATTTATTTTCAGAGCCCATGGCAGCGGTTGGTGAGAAGGATGACCAGGTTCTTTACTACGGTAAAGGCAGAACCATCTTGCATTGCTCTCCGTGATGCCTGTATTGCTATGGGTCACACATGGAAACAGAGCTGCACCAATCAGGTAAATAGATAAAACAATCAGTTGTAACATTTAAAGCATTTGAAATCCTTGCACTAAATCTTGAACCGTATAATGCACTGATCTTATCTCTTTTTCTCTCTTTTCATAGGCAACAGTGTCCACAATGGATCGCCGCAATAACAAGCTGATTTTCATAGTGCACTTCCTGGAAATGGAGGAACGCATTTTAGTAGATTTCCGTCTGTCAAAGGTGAAAACAAGCCAAACCATTGAATTACTTCTATGCTATCATTACCATTAATTGCATATACTACACTATGATGATTCTAAATTAACTGCTCATACAACTAAAACTAATATCAAAGAATCTTTGAGTGAAGAATAATATTTATAATATCATTGATATGAATAGTTAAGCTCTGTCTTCTCAAAACTATTCTTTTGTGTTCCAGGGCGACGGTTTGGAATTCAAGAGGATATTCCTGAAACTAAAACTGAAGCTGTCTGACATTATTAGTAACCAAAAGGTTTTGCCTTTGAATTGATGCGTCCACATTTTTACATGCAAAGTCTGCTTTCACACATGAGTACACAGGTACACTAAGTTTTATGATCGGGGAACGTATATGTCTGTTTTTCTGATTTGTGTGTGAAGGATTGAGGAGAAGCTATTCATTCGTGGTCCGTTACTTATGAAGAGAGGGTTTAATTTCTGCCCCTTAAAAAGATTCTGAATGTGAAAAAAAAAATTGAAAATAAATCTGTCATTAATCATGCTGTTTGGCTTGGTCAGCTGTTTAAATGATAAAACGTAGAAAGGAAGATCTTTTTTTGGAGCATGTAACATGACCATAGTGCAACTTGCTTTAGACAGTTCAATGTCTAGAGAGAATTAAATAAACAGCAGTAATGTTCCACCTTCATTTTATTAAGCGTTGAGAGTTCAGAAAAGTGCATTTTGCTTGCAAGGACCATTTGTTCAAAAATATCAAACTGTCATAGTTTATCTCATCCCATGTTATTTAGAAGCAGCTGAAATCAGTTTAGTTCATTGTAAATAGACACATGGAAGGGGAATGCAAAGGTACTCAAGTAATGTGTGTATCGATGTAGAAAGATTGCTGAAAATGTGCTTTGTATTACCTCAGAAGTAAATGGTTTAATGTAGCAAAAATTATAACAATCCTGCTGTTAATGGACAAAATTTGCTTGTATTTTAGTCATACCAAAACCAGGTTTATTAGCCGACCTGGAGCTGTTATCGAAATGGGAGAGGCTTGCTAGTAAACTCTTAAATTGATATTAGTATAAAATTACATTCAACACACACACAAAAAATTCCTTTCTTTGTTTACTTCTATTGATGAAAATGTGTTTCTGATCCCCAAAGTGCATCATCCTGTAGTAAATGTATGGTAATAAACATGATTATGGTCAGCCTTATGTTTAGCTTGAGGCCATGACAGTTATAGTTACGTTGACTGGCTCCTCGCCAGGGGGAAGGTTTGTAGGTGTTGCAGTTGGCCTTGGCAGTGCCATTGATGCCGCTACAAGAAAAAGTATTTTATTTTCATTGTTAAAGTGAAACATTATCATTTTGTTTTTGGTATGAGTTGGATGAACAAGTGTCAACAGCATGAGGTACCTGGACTAGCTGATTGGCTTGGCTGTCCTGTACCTCTCTCCCCCTCAGCTGTTCCGCTAACCTCATCCTCGGGAAAGTTAATGTTCTCTCTAGACTGGCTGTTCTGCCTGAAAATCACAAATAATATTAAAGTAGTAAAAAAACACAACAACAATCAAATCACTGTAAAATATCAATTGTTAAACATACCTTCCAAATATCAAGTCATGAAGCCC